AAAAAAAAAAACGGCGTTGATGAGGTGAGTAGGCCCACGGACCGAAGCTGGGTAGTGGTCCCAGTCCCAGACCCAGTAAGTCACGAGCTCCGATTCCAGGGGCCAAGTCCCACTACAGTCTTCCCCCGAACACAACGTACCCTCGTTTTGACTGTGTCTGGACGGGAAGATAGTCTGTATACATTCATTATCAGGGTGCGTTATGTTCGGGGGAAGATGGTAGCAAAGAGGATTGGATTGAACGCCTGAATGTGGACGGGATTGAACTGGTTTTCTGCATCTCTGCTGAAAACACATCCAGATTCAGGATCTTAATCCAGTCCTCTCTTTGCATGTGGGACCTCGGCCCGGGTTGTTTGTGAGGAATCTCCGGCCTCATGTTTTTTTTTTTCTTTTTTTTCCCTCATGTTTCATGATGATGGAATCCTTCCTTTTTCACCAAAAAAAAAAACAAAAACAAAAAAACAAAAACCCGATTTCCCCCCCACCCCCCCCCTCCTCCCCTCAAGAAAAAGGGAAAAGGGATTCTTGAATGGGTATGGCAGGAAGGAATTTGCGTAGCCGAGGGACGGGGGGCGGGGAGCGGGGCGCGGGGAGCGGCGGAGGCTGGGGGGGTGGCGCAGGGCGCGCGGAGCGGGGAGCGGGATATGGGGAATAGGGGAGACGCGGAGCTGACCCGGAGGCGATTTGTGCTCCCGTAGGGACCCACCCCGTGTGCGGCGTGTGGGTGGTGACCCGCAGGTAGTTTCTCAACTTTCCTGAATGTAACCGCTGATAAAAAAATAAAAATAAAAAAATCCCTGCTGATATGCAGAGTGACGTGAGCTCGAGCCCTGCAAAGAGGTCATCATACGAATCATATATAGCTGTGAATTTCCTTGGAGACTGTGATGAGAGTTGAAACGCCCACTGCAGACTGATGAGTATCATGCACAACGCGTTATTGCCGGCTTAAAACTCCGCTGCCTTGAGAGAACGATGCGTCAATATCATGCGAGAGAGAGAGAGAGAGGAATCGAAACGCCCAGTATCATGCACAGCGCGTTATTGCCGGCTTAAAACTCCGCTGCCTTGAGAGAAAGATGCGTCAATATCATGCGCAAGAGAGAGCTAGAGAGAGAGAGCTAGAGAGAGAGAGAGAGAGAGAGAGAGAGAGAGAGAGAGAGAGAGATGATGA